TGAATGAAATGAATCCATCAATTACGGGGTTCATAAGGTGTGTTGAAACATGTGTTTAAAATAGTTATTATTAATCTAAATATTTATGTGGGTTTTGATAGATACACAATAAACTTAATAGTTAATAGGTTTGCAATTATTTAGCAATTTGTATGTAAATTGACCAATAATTATTCTATTCTATAGGCCTGGATCTTCTAAATGTGATTCAAATGAATTTTCAGCCAACCAAATCAGCTTAGTCTGTCTTTAAGGCTTGGCCCAGTGGACTATTGCCAACCAAGACCAAACTAGATCATTGCCACTTTATGATCAAGACCAATATATTCTTTCCAATAGAAGGCCATAGCCCATTTACTATCTTGTTATAGAAAAGTTATATACCAACACTTATGTGACCGAGTAATTAATTAAACACAGTTGATGAAAGCAAAGGAGAACCTAATAATGATGCCCCAAGTATATAATATTATTAGGTGGTCACTATATAGTACTATTAAATAATACATAATTGCATTCTTTAATCATAGCCTGCAAGAATTGCTTTAATTACTATGCTCTAGGCTTTTAGTTTTGTTCAACCTTTTCCTAATAATATACTATATTGCAAGTGAAACTAGTAAACATCAACTTCGGCGCCTGCTATGAGTTATCTAATGGGATTTGAATATGGGTTTTGGAATTTGGTGGACTTCAAACCGGCTGCCCAAAGGCTTGCCCGAGTGCTCGACGATAATTTGGTTCCCTTAGGTTTGCTCGAGATCCTTTCTCATTCGTAGGATAATTTACATCTTTCTCGTATAACTCTACATGTGTCCCTTATCCACAAGTCCTATTATCCTTCCTCCATATATAGATCTTCACTCTCTTGTTAGAGCTATCGACATTGTGTTATTCGAGATGCTATCATATTATGTTGCCCGGAGCTATATATATCGATACAATATATGTTGTCCAAGCTATTCTCATACTGTGTTGTCCAAGCTACTTCCATATTATATATGTTGCTCGAACTACTTTATACTATGTTGTCCTAGCTATCGTCATACTACTGTTCGAGCTACTGACACAATATTGTCCGAGCTACTTTTATAATATTGTGCAAGCTACTTTCATAATACTGTCTGGTTTCATAATATTGTCTGGGTTGCTTAAGACCAGCTCATCCTAGCTAACTAACAAAAAGATCATGTAACAAATTCAATTAGGACATGATTATTAACCAAAAAGAACAGCACAACTTGGCCACATCTATCAACCACTATGATAATCCATCTCTATGTTACCTAATGTGCTCATCAAATCAAATTATTTGGCTGCCGAGCAATTTTTCATGGTAAGAGCCACCCTGTATTTCAATAATATTTTTAGTCTTCATAATTTTTTAACTTATCGATTGGAACCGAAGTCCATTGGCACGCGCTAGATTGCTCGGTTAATTGTAAATAAAATTGGTTTTATACCAATAATACGGACCGTCAGACTCAGTTTTACAAAATTCCATTCCATAATAATTAATATTTGAATGTATTCTTTTTTTTTTGGTACAAAGGAAGAGGCCAAGAAGCCTAAATAGCTACGCTTAAGGCGACTCGTGGGTGATCCACACCAATGATATCATGTTGTAAACGAGAAAGAGAAAAGAAATAGGGAATATTAATTGAAAAAATGTAAATCAATCTCCGGTCCAAAACTCCATATTATGTTTTCGTGAACCAAAATATTGGAAAACCTTAAAAAAAAATATCAAAAGTATGTCTTTTTAAAGTTTATTATCATGTAAAGTCTTAAAGTACATGACGTTAATAATTTGTCTTTATACAAAAAGTCCTAACATGACTCAAGGGATTTCTAATTCAATTAACCATGAAATTTTTGAATCGGACTTCAAAATTGATTTAAGGCTTTTGAATTCTATGATTAGGCGAATACGATGATGTATGATTCACTGATTTCTTGTAATTATTCGGTAATCGAATTGAAGAAGAAAGTAGGTGGTACGTGACCATATATAGAAAAAAAAGACTTCATTTTAAATATTTCAATGATCAAGATATCTAAATTTTTGTTGAAGTCATATAATATAATATTCTAACAGGGTAGATCTTATGATGATCCAACAGTCGAACTCTGTTAAGTTAACAAATAAATCGACGAAATATCTAGTTTTTTTTTTTTTTTTTACTAACCAAAATTTCACCATTGAATGATCATAAGACCTATTTCATCAGAAAATTCATCTTGCATATCTTTCAGAGGACATGTTTTGATAACAAATATGATGTCTCTATCACCGAAAGACAAAAACGAAGTTTATCTTAAGTGCACGTTGTCGCCTACATTCTTCATTGTGATTATAAATTATATTTCATTTTATTTGTCTAAAAACTTTTTCAGTCGTGTTCTTTGGGAGATAATTCAATCAGCTTTAAAAATTTAAATGGTAAATATATAAGGAAATTCTACAGTCCCGTTACGGAACCATTCCGTCGGGGTTTGTAAACGTTAGATCATCATGTAACCGTCGAGTATAGTTGATCTAACGGTTACAAACCCCGACGGAATGGTTCCGTAACGAGACCGTAGCATTTCCCATATATATATATATATATAATCAACACTTTACTTTCTGTTGACCTTATCCTTCAAATCAAATTAGAAAAACGCCCTTTTTCCTTTTATTAGTTGAACAAAGTCAAAGAGACGTGGTTAGCCACTTTCGTCCACTCATAGACCATTTAATTTATCAAAGCTTTTTCATTATTTAGTTATTTAAATTCACATCCAAATACAATAAATAATGCTTCATTCTATTCCACTGCATTCCACCTAAAGTCCTTGTTCTTTACTAGAAAGTCAACTTATGCATTTATTTACTTCAGAAAAAATAGCACCTTAGTGTGGAGGCCAAATATATATATATATATTTTTTTTTTGGTCGCATTGGATTCGTTAAATTAAGTAAATTATCACCTAGTTTTGTAACTAACCGAGCGAATCTCGAATTTCTGAT